GTAAATGACTCTCAATCAATAAATAGATAAGTTGTAAGTTCCGCTGGGAGGGTAGGCAATTGGTAGTATGTGCATGTGTGTCGGTCAGTCAAAAAATCACCAAAAAATGATAGATGATACGCAGCAATAGTACCACCATCCTCCACTCTTCGTTTATGACGATAATCAGTATGCCACAGCACTCTAACCTCTACCAACCCCGGGCACACCGACGACGCTCACCCTTCCCTCGATTAACCTTTGCTTCGTCCTCTCTGCAACGGCATCATACGCATAGTGTACCGGTGGGTGTTTGTGTCCACCTCCACCTCCACTGCGATAGCCGCCTTCCGAGTCGCTCGCGTCCTCGTCGGTGTAGTTAACGTTGAAATGGTCGTCGTGCGGGCTTCCGTTCACCCCAAGATGCCCGTACTCGTCGTCAGCCTGATGACCTCGCTGACGATTGAGGACAGAAGATGTATCGTCTTCCTCAACGGCTCTCTGTTTTCCACGGGCTTTCTCACTAGGCTTGTACTCTTCGTCGTCGTCGTCGTCGTCGTCGTCACTGGAGGTATCAGGCACAGGTGTTGTCCCTGCCCACGTCCCGTTACCAACGTATCCGGGGTCCGCGGTCGAGGCAAACGAACCAGCAGAGGCTGAACCAGCAGGACTAGCCCCCCTCAGCCCAGGACTCCTAGGTCCATGAGGTGCAGTTGGGGGCGCGAGGTGGTTGTAGGGAGCATGCTGCCCGGAAGTAAGACCACCACCAAGAATGATGGACGAGGGCCTCGAATTCGGACGCCCGCCGGGGGAAGGAATACGAGGAGGCACAGGTGGTGGTGGCATAGGCGGGGACGATGAAGGACTTCTCGAAGGCGCCCTTGCACCACCAGGATGCAGGCTTGGACTCGATGACCTTGCACCCATAGGCGCAGGACGACTTGTGTTTAAGTACAGCTCCTCTTGATGGAGCTGTCGCTCAATTTCATCCTGTTTGAGGAGGGCAAAAAAATGTTAGTAAGGATCGTTCTGCCCAGAAACAGCAGGGAAAAGCTCACCCTCCCCCTCCTCCCCCCAACATCATTCTTGCTATCTGCCTGAACCTTGCTTTCCCTCCCAACCCTCTCAAGGTCCTCGTACTGTCCAAGCGCAGCCAACAACTCCTCGTTTGCGTTTAATAGATTCCCCAATAACCTCTCCTCAGTCGTCTCTCCCTCCTCCTCCCCAGCGACGGGTTTTCCTTCCGCTTCAAGCTTGGCATTGAGTTCCCTCCGGCTCCTCTCAGAGCCAGCGCTGGCCCATGGAATCTGTGCAGCGATCAACTCTTGACTCGCTATGCACTTCACCCGGAATTCCTTGATGATTCCATTGCCCTGCACTTCCGCGTTATCGTGGAGCAAGTCCTCCGGGGTAGTATGCAGCAACGCCTGGCTCAGTAGCGATGCGTTACCCTTGCCAATGACACACTCCTGGAACAACCGTCGAATATCCTCCTCCGGTGGAATGATCTTCTGAGCATCCCGTTCTCGTTCGCGCGACGTGCGATGTTTTTTGCGTTTTCGGGATTCTCGGTCTTTATCCTTGCGTGATGAACGCTCTCGGTCTTTGTCCTTGCCTTTGTCCCGATCGCGGTGTTCGCGATGCGACCGGTCTTTGTCCTTATCCTTCTCCCGTGGTTCATGATCACGTTCACGATTCGAATCCTTGCGTTCCCGGCCGCTACTACGCTCCCGGTCGGGGTCGCGTTCTCGCCGTTCTCCCCTATCCTTGGTCCTCTCCTTCGCAGCATCGCCATTCGCTTTCGGAAGTAGATCGCCAGTTTTGCCGTGCTGGCTGTTGGGAGGCTGATTCTGATTCTGTTGCGTTTGTTGCTGTTGCTGTTGCTGATGATCATACTGTTGCTGTTGGCCGATATGATGATGGTTTGGATGCAGTTGCGGCTGTGGGTACGGCAGAGACTCAGCGTAAGACCGCCGATCAGCACCCGTGGGAGGATTGAACATAGCATCGTCTGTGTCAAATGGCATGCCCTATTGGACATCGCGACTCGTGTTCAGCAAGGGTTAAGTAGGAGGTTAATCACCACATACCTCGTCCGGCTTGTCGTGCGGTTTGACTTTCTTCCAAAGGCCACGAAATCCAGTATCTTTCTCTACAGCACCAAATTTAGCATTTCGTTGCGTACGAGCAGGGGAAAGCACGGAAATAGCTGCGAAAAAAGGAAGAGTTGCTCGAGAAAAAAAAGGGAACCAAGACGGTTCGAATGCCAGAGGATAAGACAAGACAGAGAATTCACTCACTACTTCCGCTTGCATACGCAGCAGCGGCCAGAACGTCTAGCACACGCTCTTTCACCACAGGATTCGTTCTTGAGCTTAATAGAAGCTCTTCCAAGGTTTCCAGGAATTTCCGACCGGTCGACTGGCTTATGAACGTATCTGTCGAGTTCCGAAGCATGATTGCCCAAAGCTAAGATATGGAGGCTGAAGTCAACAGCTTGTATATAAGAATGAGAGGGGGGTCACTTACCCGAGCAGCACTGAGCTGAGCCTGGGGGTGGCCGTACTTGAACTCTCTGCGTAACGCCCGTATAGCCTCCTTGGCATTGGAATCGCTGGCTGATGCGCGTTCACAAACGTCAAGGACAAGGGCCCAATCTTCAGAGGATGTTGCTGTGAGAAACCCTGTGTACACCGCGAACAACGAAACAATTAAGGAATTACTGAAACGATGCAGGTGTAGCAGATGTAGAGCGCACCAATCAACTTCGTCAACTCTCCTCCCTGTTCCTCGGGGTGCACCAGCTGCCACGACTGGCTTCGTTCTCTCTGACCATGGCCATGATCCTTGTCCTTGTCCTTATCGTGACCGCCACTAGTCCATTTAGATAGCCATCCACCCTCCTTCCTCTCCTTCTCTTTCTCCCTGGTCTCTCTCCTGACGTGGCCATTTTCGGTATCGTGCGATACCATTGTGCTCGGTGCCAGCGAGTTCATAGATGGATATCGCTCCATCCCCATACTGGGCCTCGAAGGCGCAATCATCTGCATTGTCGCCGTTGTGTCAGTCGACGCCGTGTGCTGGTGGTGGGGATTAGTCTGATGAGGTTGTCCAGTGCTCGGCAGATGTTGATGTGCATGTGGCGGATCCAGCGCCCTCAATATCCCCATCGCTGGCGGTGTCGATATCGAATGGTTGCTTGAATTGTTATGATGATGGTTAAGGTTGGGGTTTTTCTTCTTCAACGTGTTCGATCCAGACAGTTCTTGATGGGGACTAGGTGGCCGTGCCGCGCCTGGTGGAAGGCTCCCATAGGACGATGATCTTGATGGTGCCAAAGCTGACGCTGTAGGCGGATGGGGGTTGGGAAATGGCTCTACAAGGTCGTAATCGTCGTGGAGGTCTTCTCGTCGTTGTTGAGGTTGAGCTTGCTGTTGAGCCGGCTGCTGAGCTTGTTGTTGCTGCACTTGGCTCTGATTCTGATTCTGCGTGTAGACAGCATGAATTGGGGTAGGTAATGGGGAAGACTCGACCACGGCATCGTTCGTTTTAACTGGGATTGTGGGGGTTGCTGGTGTCGCTGGCTTTGGCTTGGTCCCGCCAAAAAGCTTTTTCATGTTGGTGCTCCCAGTCTGAGCTCGACTTCGACTCGGCTCGACTGAACTGACACGGTTGCTGACGGCGAGCTGGGAGAACTGACAATCAGACAATCCTAATTCTATCCTGCAGTGCACTGTCAAATTGTGAAAGGCTGTGTACAACGCCACGTGCACATCTTCCAACTCATCGAGGGTTTCTCCCATGGTTGTCCTTCGTTCAGCCACCTCCAAACAAGTCTGGATCTGTTCTCCGTCGTCTCTTTTGCTCATATAACATGCTCTAGAGGAGAGAATGACTGCGGACTTGCTGGGACTCTCCAGTGAGTACTCGATACGCGATGTCCGCCGGTTTCCCATTCGGGTAAGTCTCAGCAAGTACTGCCCTTGGCCCTCTCTGCATCCCTGAGCTTGGTAGATGCGGTACTCGTTGAACGATTACCCGGCCCTAGAGCTCCAGCCACAAATTCGAAGAGAGACTCCAAGAACTTTCACAGAATCTCCGGAACGCACTTTATTCAAGCCACCGTGCTTCCAAACTCCCGACGATTTGTGAGTGCAAACTTCGGGTTTCAGGGGAGTAGGTAGCCCGTAACGACTTTGAAGGCTACAGCCTACAGTTAATATCTGATACCCGGGTTGTTTCAAAAACACGTCCGCACGCAATTTCAACAAAGGGTCGTTTCATCAGCTCGCTAATGGCCGCAACTTCAACTCGTTCAGGGATCGATGAGTGAGTCTTCGGCCTGGTTTGTCAACCCTTCGTCCGCGTTCTATATACAGAACTCGATGCTCGTCATTCTCGCTTGGTGGGGCCGATCGCGAGCCAGTGAGAGTATCGGACGGGGTAGTCGACCGTTTGCAGGGTTGACTCATCACCTCCTTCACGAACACCAGGACTGGCCCCGCCCCGGACACCAGTGAATTAGAATCTCAAGACCAACGTTCCGGACGGCTCTCAGGAACCCAACGCTTGGGCTGTGTCGAGTTGCGGACCGAGATGTACTGATAAATGTTTGACCCATCCAATATGGATCTTCACAGGACCAGGCCATTCAAACAATCTATAAACAAGATGGCCTACTGAGGGCCCGCCGCACAAGTGACACAAGGCGAAACGTCCCCCAAAATCGGGCAAACTACTCGAACTCGCAGACAATATTTGAACCCTAATGACCGACGTGTCGGGGAGCGATACCATCACCTCGATCAACTACTGCTTTCTCGAGAAGGTCGCAGACTAGTCACCCCTCCAAAGGCAAGAACCTTATCATAGCTTACCATCCTTTCCCTGATATTATTACCGCACCAAAAAGGTTGAGGACGGACCCCAGATTTTACCCTCAAGGAGTAAACATCTCGACGGAAGGAGGATGTGGTATAACTGGAGAAATCATTCCCGATCAAATTGGAACCTACCAGTAGGGGCAAATAGCGTACGGGTTACCGCGTTCGCTTTGCATGTGGTATGGGTTGACGAATGCTGCGAAAGGTCTCCAGTTCAAATCCGGATTTGTCCATTCGACGAAGCTGGCTGGGCCATACAGCAGCAAACTTTTGCGGAAATACGCTGTGCAACAACAATATTTCTCAGTTAGCTACGCGTGATTGATACTTATCAATTTAGAGTAGGAATACTAATTCTCGACGTTCGAGTTCGTGGCTACGGGGGCAGTGATATGAGCCGCCTGTCTGTCCTGCATTGTGCTTTAACGTTTTAACATTAACATGAAGCGCAGCATTCGCAGGATGTAACCATTGTAGGAACCTAGGTATATGCAAAGGTCCTAGAGCTAAGAAAAGGCGGACCCGACCAGGTATGAATACGTATGGCCAAGTGTAGTCGCAGACGGCAGGTCAGACTCATACGGAACAGCCAAATCGGGCGTAGCGACGGGCGTTAGCGCGGCCGGTTCCTGTGCGTTGGTCGTAGGTATCGGTGTCACTGTAGAGGCCTGACGAGGAGGATCATGTAGTTGGTATGCAGGAGGGCGCTCGTCGTTCCAGTCTCGGCTGGCCCTCGCCGCAACCTCGTCGAATATCCTTTTCCTCGTGTTCCTGAGCTCATCCTTATACCGAGACAAAGTCTGGGCAACACCTTCCAAGACAGAATGAGCTCCAGCGGTGCGTCCGGAGTAGGTTGAGCACTCGGCCACAATCTGAGTATCGATGTCGTGAGCGGTAGATGAGGCGAAGCAGATGGCCAAGATACTTGCCTGTGTATGGGCACGAACGACTTCGGATGTGATATCATCCAAGAAAGCTGGGCGAGAATCAGGAATACGGAACGCGTAGTTTGGAGTGAAATACGAACCGTTGAAGTATTCTCTCTTCTCTGAAGCTGTCCTAGAAGGGATACTGCGAGGACAAGAGTTATGAAGCGTAATGAAGGTCGGGTGAATATACACTCACGTTTGCGAGATGGTAAGAGCCCTCAGTGGCTTGATGGAAGGCGACAGTTGACGAGCTTCCTGTACGAGTGAAGGCACCTGACTGGCCAACGTATGGGCATCTAAAAGACAAGCGGACTCCCTTTCGTGTACCATACTAACAGACAAACAATCTCAGCCCAACGACTAACATCGGAAACAAAGCGGAAGACATACCGTCCGAAGTACGATCCAGTCGCTGAAGGAGGAACTCAGTGTCTGCACATAAACAACATCTCAACTCAAGACTCACGCGAAGTGGCAAATCGGACTGCTTCCTTTAGTTTCTCCGAACAATCGTGCAACACCCTCTCCGCGCGGTATAGGCGCTCGTACGCTTGCGTCTCGGCGTCAAAAGTAGCCTCAACCCGATCGTACATGGCCTTTGCTGCAGCGATTTGCTGCTGTAGCTGGTTCTGCTCGGGAAAATCTAAAGAAACTCTGAGTTTGCATGTTCTCGAAGATAATAGGATGGGATGATGGATACCTGTGAATCCATTGAATATGCTGTTGTAGAGCGTATCCAGCTCATCCGTCATTGTATTATATTTCCTGGCCTGGTCGTTGAGGCTACGTTCCTGAACGGTGCACAAGAAGTATGAGTATGAACACCGGTCAAGCGAGAGGAGATCTACGACAGAAGACGTACTTCGGCTTCCGCTTGAGCCAACTCCTCTTTTAACTCGTTGTGTTTTTCGCGTTCTCTCATCTCCTCCTCGATGATTCGAAAAGATCTGGGGGTGTCTATCAGCATACTTTGATAGATACAGTAGACACGGAAAACTCACGTTGTGTCAGATACATGCTCCTTTTCCTTCTGTGTCCTCCGCTTTATCGACCAGAACTGGGATTTCGGTTTCTCCACACTCTCCTGTGCTTTCCATTGCCTGATCAACCTCTCCGATATCTTCACGAGATGTAACATGCCCTCCTCAATCAGGAACTGGAGTTCCTTTATTTTGGCCTGCTGTACTGCGAGCGCTTCAGGAGCGTGTTTGACTTCCGCGATCATTCGAACAAGAGACGCATGCTTAGGTTTGCTCTCCGAGACGAGCCTGTCAAAGGCTATCGATCGACAAGAGAAGACACTGGTGAGAGAGATAGTAAAGGTCTCAGAATAAGCTAGGACTCACTGGGAAGCTCTGCTGCCCACGAAAACCCCGCTTCCTCTGCTTTCGTAAGTTTTGGTGAGGGAGGTACGACCGGAGAACTCGAGCCTGAAGCTCCACCCGTCTGTGTCTGAAGTTGGTGGTCATTCTCCCTAGGAATTCGATGCGCCGGAGGGAAGTCTCTCGGCGTTGGGCTTGCGGACAGGGAATGGGGATTATGAAGTGGCGGAGAAGGTGGAGTCTCATCGAAGGGTTCCGTGCTTGGCTCCTCTGTCGTTACTTCGATGGACAACGCCTGCAGGTCTTGTTGTATTTGTAGAGATGAGCTCGACGTAGGCGTCGGAGAGTCCTGGCTTTTCTGCGGTCCAGCCTCAATCCTTTCAAGATCCCAATATGAGGGAGGAAGGCTGTCGGGAGTTGGTCTATGATGTCCAAAGAGAAATGAATACCACGACATCGAGTATGAGGAATTTGCTTACATATTGACGACCGATGTCGATGGAGCGCTAGGTGTACTATCATCGCCGTTGATCTGCACACCTGGTTTGACGACAGAACGATATTCAACGTTGCCCCAAACTTGGGTAAATATCGATTCGTTCCAATCCAATGGTGAACAGATTGACTTCCGTAAATTCATTTTCGATAACCGATTCAGTACCTGGTGTGCATTTGGGCGAAGTAACGGTTCTGGAGACCACATTTCCATCATGAGGTCCCACATATCATCAGTGAGCTCGGGCGCTGAGGTAGGTCTCCTTGGCCGTTGTCCTTGAATAACGGCGAGCACTACTGCAGCTTCGTGTGGGAGTTCGGGGAAAGGGTGTTGTCCGTCCGTGAAGATCTGGCGGGATGTGAGGATTTTCTTCTGGCGAGATAGATCTGATTCCACCCGCTTACCTCGAAACAAACACACCCGAAAGAGTAGATATCACTCTCTTTTGATGCGTAACTTCCGGTGAGCAACTCGGGAGCTAACCAGCGACCTGTGCCACGGGGACGTGATGTCGTTGTTATGCTGAGTCCTCGTGTATCTGAGATGCGAGACAAGCCAAAGTCTCCGATGCAGGCCCGGAAGGCGTCTGTGATGAGAATGTTGACACCTTTGAGATCACTGTGGACGATCTTCATGGCGTGGAGGTGAGCCAGGCCAGTTGCAATGTCGTGTACCTGGAGGTCGCGTCAGCCGGATTGACTAGGTGTTTTGGAACGAGAAATAGATACCAGTGTGTGATGGTCCACATCCTCCCGCCTCGAAGCTCTCAGGTATTGAATCAAGTTACCTTGATTCATCCATGGAGAGATTAGGCACAACTGTTGAGTAGATTCGAGCTGATATATCCCAAGAAAGGGCAGTATGTTGGGATGCTTCATCTGACGCCAGAGGATCGCCTCTCTGATGTACTCCTGTCAATCATTTGTGTATCAGCAGCGTAGCATATATAGTATCAGGCGGTTCACATACAGTCGACAATTTTTCCAAGTCGGATTCCAGGTAAATTTTAACGACCTTCAAGCACACAAGCTCTGTCGATTCGCCGATGATGCCCTTCCAGACGTCTCCAAATCCACCGGCAGCGATAGGGAATTCTCCTAGCCTCTTCACGTTCTGGATAGCGAGGCATTTTGGGTGTAATCCTGAGTTCTTCGAGAGGCGTACCATAACGGTGAATATCGAAGACCGCGCCGCTGAGGTAGTATGAGGACAATCGACGAGCTGAGATTTGCGAGTTTGATTCGGGTATTGTGAAAATTACAGGGCACATACTCACCTCCTGCATACTGTCCAGCCAGTTCTGAGCCTCGTATCCCCCCATCTCCAGGAAGCCTTCCAATTTCAGCCTGTCGTCGAAGATTCCCTTCAAACGCTCTTCCAGTTGGCTCAATGCTGGGTCGAGTGACATGTTTGCGAGCCGTTCAACAGGTATACCAGAGTCTTCATATACCGCTTGAGAACCTGGGTCCACCTGGCAGCAATTTGGCAGTGCTTTCAATTGCGCTGGCTATCAGGAATTCAATCAACCGTGCTTCCGGGGAGCCTGCCCATCCGGCGATCACCATTTCAAAGTACCCTGAGGCAGAGACTACCCCTCGCAGCAGGCTATGTATATGAATGTGAGGGGAGAAAGCTGAGTTGCACGTACTTCATTCATTAATTGTTGGAGTGAGGAAAAGGGCAGGAGTCAGGACTGTCGCGATCTAGTCAAAATAAGATCAGACCTGTTATCTTATCTTGAGACTTGGACCAGTTAAAACCGCCTAAATCCGATCTCAGAGTTTGACTCTGACTAGACTGCACCTGCCACCAACCAACCACGACGACAACTCAAAGCGTTTAGGACGATTTTCATTACCAGTGACGGCAGAGAAGTCTTATCAAGAAATTATGAGTACGACGGCTTCATGTTCTTCTATGCTCCCGGGTGACGAATCGACGTCGAGGGTGTTGGCCACATCCAGACTGTCGACTAGACTTACTCTCAAACTTCATCAAACTTACCTTCATCTCGTCCTACATATGTACTAGCCACAAATATGCTGTGGTCATTCGAAAGGGCATGTTCGGCGCTCTATATTCGCGCAAACAATGCACCGTGTACTTGCTGTAGTAAACATCACAATATCTCCAACGCCACTGATATCGCTGATCAGTCGCCAGGATGAGTGGCAACGGAAACATCCTATTCTGATACTCATCGCTGTTTGCTGGCAACGCAGTTATTTCAACTTTCTGCTCGCAAGGCTCGAGCTATCGCTAATGGAAAGATGGTGTCGCTCACGGACCAACAATCGGCTCAACGTCTTGAAGAGGTTTTTGGAGACGAAGAACAGCTGCGAGTGTTTCTGGAGCAGAAAGGCGAGGGCGCGCAAAACTGGTTAGACAAACTTCAGCAGGTAGGCTCAAGGAGCTTTGTTGGCTTGTTTCTTTGCTCATCTTGCACGTCCTAGCTCACCGACAGCCCCAACTTGAATACAACGCCTCAGTTCCGTTCTACAATGTTCACGGTCATGGTCCGCCTCTCAAAATTGTCCGGACGACACCCGAGAAGTTTGTTAATGCAGAATGTTCACAAGTTGGGTAAGCATCCCATCGCTGCTGGAGGATTTGGGGATGTATGGAAGGGCGCGATTCGACGATCGGAATCGGAGGAACAACTGGTGTGTTTGAAAGTATCGAAGGTGTACGTGAAGAGTGACTTGGACGCGTTGTTCAAGGTCTGTACTCCTTTGTATTGTCGTTGTTTCTCTCCATGAATACGAAGAACAGGAATATCTTCGCGAAGCCATTGTGTGGCGCCAGCTGATTCATCCGAATGTCCTTCCGTTCCTTGGGATTTTCTACTTAAAAGACGAAAGCCAGTTCTGTCTCATCTCGCCGTGGATGGAGAACGGCAACCTCTTACAGTACCTTAAGGCCAGTCAGAGGGCGGACGTTGATCATCTCGTACTGGTACGCCGACTGGGCTCGATGTCAATCTCAATGCTTAGTTAGTGCTCTGATAGGTCTGTGACGTTGCAGCAGGTCTTGCGTACTTGCACGGGAAGAAGGTAGTTCACGGTGATTTAAAAGGGGTGAGCAAGCATTCTTGCCGTTCATTCTGAAAATCGCTCATCCCTCCGCGCAGCTAAATATCCTTATCACCCCGGAAGGCCGCGCTTGCATTGGCGATTTTGGACTATCTCGTATCGCGGATACTTTTGCTCTCCATTTGACCACATCAGCCCCTCGTACTGCTGGTACAGTTCGGTGGCTCGCGCGGGAGATCTTGAACGGTACTTCTGGCCCTACCAAAGAAAGCGATATCTATGCTTTCGCCTGCGTTTGTTATGAGGTATTGGACGAGTCTTTCTCACTTCACCCTGGTTGCCTCCTATTAACACGCTTTACCGCAGATTTATACTTCCCTCTCGCCCTTCCACGAGCTTCCCAATGACGCGGCTGTGATATTTCACGTTGTTGTAAGCGAGAAACGTCCTATGAGGCCTGTGGGGGTTCCTGAGCTCAACGACGGGATGTGGGATATAATGGAAGCATGCTGGAACACGAATTCAGCCATTCGACCCAAGGCGCCTGAGGTCTTCCAACGTATCAGATCAAAAATGTTGGTAGAACGAAGAGCGACTTGGTTCGTCGATCATATCGGCTTGAATCATTTGCCGCAGCAACAGACCAGTCGTGGTGCTCCAGCGTTAGCTGCGCATAATTCTACTCAGGTTTGTGAGCAAGACTGGGTAGAACCCAAACTTGAAGCAGATGCGGGGGGCCGCGAACTGCATGAACAGATATACTCATCATACCCGCCGGTTGGGATCGAAAGCGAACGTTCTTTTGTTCGTCCTCGGATCACACCTCTGGAGGACGCTGAGCTCATTCAAGTAGCCTCAAGCTCTCAGCACGACAATGAACCCCCACCGGACCACGGTTCCATAATAGACGGCCAAGATCGAGCGGTAGAGCAAGGCCATCGCTCGAATACCGCCAAAGATGTCCATAGCAAAACTATCTCTTCGGAAGAGGGCCTTGACCTTTTGCTTCATGACCTTCCCGCCAACGACCAGGGTCCCATTATTGATGTTCTGGAAGGAAGATCGCGGTCGCAGCTCAGATGTAATTCACGGGAACGGACGACGTCGACTGGTACGTTCTCCGTTAGTTCGTCTGCTTTCTCTCCCTCTCATTGATGATGCACGTGGCTTCCCGGTTGTGCTAGCCTCCGAACAAGTGAAAATCAACGAGCGTAGCTGGCTGTCGAAATGGACGAATGGCTTTCGCGACGACAAGGAAGTTAATACCAATGGGGCACAGGGAGAATTGACAAGGTTGATAGGTACGCTATACGCTTACTGCAGTCTGCCTCCTCAACGTTCCGGGAATCTTCCAGCTGATTTTCTTCGTTCGCGATGTACACAGGCTTCCTTACAGCAACATCCTCCGAGGATTGGGCCCTTGTTATGGACGTGTGCGAGCGTGCATCTGCCAGCGAGACCAACGCTAAAGAGGTCGTACGGGCTTTACGTCGAGAGTTCAAGTACGGTGAACCCCAGGCCCAGCTTAGTGCCGCGAGGGTGAGCAATCCTCTTATTCTGATATACCAACTCTCTGAATTCGACCTCTATGTCCTAGCTGTGGGCGATCATGCTTCGAAACTCGACAGATACATTCATATCCCAATCGATCTCTCGGAAGTTTTTGGACACCCTTGAGAACCTTTGTATCTCAAGACGGACGAACCCTGTAGTGAGGGAGCGCGTGTTAGATGTTCTGGGGGCTGCTGCATATGCCAGTGTAAACAGTGAGTGAAACCCCTGTCCTTCTGTCATTTTCCCGACATGTGCTATGCAATAAGTACTGACAATCATTCTTCTCTAACCCTTGCATTGTATCAGAAGATATTGGCTTCCGCAGCCTATGGAAGAAACTCAAACCACACGACAAGCCGGAAGAGGTGTGTGGTGATCTTTTTTTTTTCGCTTTGAGCTTTACTGAACGCGCTTGTGGTGGACGATAGGGCATGCCTTTACCTACGCACGATGCCATGTTCAACCCCCCGGTTCTGGCAGGTGGTGATCAGCGGCCTTATTTCGCTTCGTGGCCATACCAAAAACCACAGCTACATCTCAAGGATCATATCAGCCAACAGAACCAGCAAACACATTCAGATCAAGATCAGCAGCCCAGTCCAGCCCGCGCAAGTGAGAATTTGTCTGCCGAAATGATCGACGATGCCAGTAAGGATATAGAAGGGGACATCCTCGAACAGGACAAAGTCGAGCGACAGATCCGCCAAGAAGAACTGAACTTGACCTCAAATCGCTCTGACCTCGAGGGAATTGGAGAGCTGAGTCCTCGCATGGATCCTGAGGGGATCGAGTCCATGAGAAAATTTTCACTTTCCCGCCCTTTGCCAGCGCCACCCATTTCCCCCCGTCGTTCCTATCGTAGGCGCAAGATGGCGGTAAGTCTAATTCTGTGCATTTGCGTTCATGACTGAGTATGTTCCTCTTCTCTCGTATCGGGGCTCACCATTAAGGTAGCGGCACGGGTCCCACAAGATTCACGTAGAGCTCCCCCACCTTACTCGTCACTACCTAGCACCATCAGGTGATTTTTACCATATCCACCTTGTATTTCAATACGACGCCCGTACACGTTGAGGTTTTTCGAGAGCGAAAGCTGTATTTCTGTTGAAGGTGGGCTGAGATATGAATGGTTATCCGCTGTGGAAAAGGCCGAAGTCCAATAGCTGAAGGGATTTCGGTCCAGTACATTTCCCTGCAGCACGCACGACTGCCATTTCCTTGTAGTAGTCCACATTCGATACGACTTCAAGCAAGTACTTTCTTCTCCAGAAACTCCTCCCATTCTTTTTGTCCCCATGAGCTTGACACCTCCCCAGCGATAATTCCATCCCAAATCACAGTAGGCGAGACGTGAATACCGTTCTGTCTCGAAAACTTCACGGTGTACTTGAGGTCGTCCGTAACATCGACTCCGCCATTCGGCGACGATTTCAGTGTGAGCAAATCGCTGAAATTGGACTGATTGACGCCAGCTTGCGAGGCGAGATGGGCAAGTTTCTCGCGTATCTGGATTGGCGTGAGATTAGAGGTTGGAATGTCGAAGTATTCGTCTTGGCTTTTGAATAGCTGTTTGGATAATCCGCGGATAAGCATCGCAGACAGTGCATAGCCCTATGTAATACGCACGGCTAAGGAGAACGACCAAAACTTTTCTGGGGAAACGCGAGCAACCTTGGGGAGGAACGTACGCGCGATGGTGAGTCTGGAAGTCGGTTCTGGCAAGAAGGTCAATGCTCACGGCTAAACCAGCCTCGTGTACGAACGTCGAGCTCGCATGCCAAGGCTGCACTTGGTTCCTGAAGATCACTTTCACTTTCCCCGCGTATTTCCCTCCCGAATTGAAGAGAGGACGGAGAACGTCCTCAATGCCGACAGCCATTTTCGCGCTGCAAGTATATGATATGAGCGCATCCCTGAGAAGCTATTGTCTAGAGCTTACCTGAACGGACAGACATAATCGACTGACAAACTTCTTTGATTAGCTCACTGACAGATACATTTCAGCGCACAGTCGACGAGAACGCACGAAAGATATCGAGTGTATGGGGAGCATCTGGGGTCCCAGCTATAATCAGAGCTTGTCTGAAAGACGGTTGGAGGGCCATGTCTATCGAGATAGTGGTGGTTCAGGATCAACAGATAGATAGACAATGATTGCGCAACACATCACTGACATCACCGAAAATAGGGGCTGCAATATCGACTCAGCTACAGGTCGGTGTTTGGCGGCACATTAACGGAGACAATTCAGGCCTATGCCCATGATATAATAATGTGTGGTCTTCGAATACTCTCAAAGCTCAGGCATACATGGTTTGGAAGAAATGTAACAGTACTCGCAGGGCCACAGAAACTGGTAAGGACCTTCTTCAGATGGGCAAATAGCGTAGGGGTTATCGCGTTCGCTTTGCATCACGAATTTCCGGAGCCTGCTGCTGCGAAAGGTCTCCGGTTCAATTCCGGATTTGTCCATGTCTGGAGCAAGCATCTTTTTCCTTCATGGTTCAAACGCTCAAAGTTCATTGATAGTTGCATGTTATCATGATCCTGGCGACATTGCAGTCCACGCCTGAAATGAAATGGAAGTCTGAAACCGAAAGCTGGCTCGGCGGTAGTTTCTTCCTTGCGTTGGCATTGAATGAAGTTATCGGTCCTTGAGATTTCACAGTCACTCTCGGAATTCGTGAGCCGAAAAAGATACGAGTGCAAAAGGCCGATGTCGTGAACAAAGTTGGCAACAAGGCTGAGAGTTGAGGAATACCTCCGAATTGCATGGCGAAGCAGGCACTGTCAGAAATCCGGTAAACTTGCAGGCTCCTTCCCACCCGCCTTTAGGGCTAACAGAAAAATGAATCCGAGGGAGTAGGGAGGCATGTTTTATTCGAGGGAAGTTGCCGAAGGATTTGATGGATTATGTAAAATCTTGAACCTTATTTTTCTGTTAAGCCCTAAAGACGGCTGGCATAACTTGCGGGTTTTGTTTGTTTGGCAAGAGCATCTGAACCAATAGGGCTTGGCCGTAAGTGTCTTCGGGTGCTTTCTGACCGAAGCCACATTCGAGGTCAAACTTCGGTGGTGCCGTTCCATTGATCTGACATTGTGCCCATGCCGCAGGGTCTGGACGACCAATTCGAGCATGGACACATTGTTATTATCAAGGATCTTCGTGACCTCGTTGACCCATTTCAGAGCGCTAGCCTCATAGAATGAATGGGGCATCCAGCCGAGTGTCGTGCACTGGAGCCAGTACTCAATTCAATGTCGGGGTAGGACTTTGGAATAGAGAAAAAGACCTTACAAATTTCGAGGAAAAAATTAGGTGTTTATCCTATGAAGTGGATGCTAAAGGCGGATGCCAACGAGTCGCTCGTTGAGGCGAGTCGACAGTATGGGCGGGATGCACACCCTGAAAGCAGAGGGCGTAGACAAACAACGTCCAAACAAAACCCACAAGTTATGCCAGCCGTCCTTGGGGCTTAACAGAAAAATAAGGTTCACAAAATTCAAAACACGACGTCATCCATCAATTTGATTCGGCAATTCCCCTCTGTCACTGAAACCTCTCGGATTCAACACTGCGATTTTTTTGTTAGCCCCAAGGACGGATGGGAAGGAGCCTGGTAAACTTGCAGTGATGCCGCTCAGCACGTAATTCCATATGAAGAATCTTCAATATCAATCTTCGAGCTTCAAGCTTTGAGGCCGGAGAGAGGAGCCTGAACCGTAGATCGAGGAATTGGGAATTGGGGTGGTGGTATTGAAGCACGTTTTTGGACTCTGTAGTGGGAATTAGCGCCGGAACGACGTGATTTCCCGTTTCTTCTGAACTACATATGTACCATCAAGCCTTGCAAGCTCGCTCGAGTTCTCTTTTCCCCCTCAATACAACTCCTTGGTATGAAACTATCGTCTACGCTACTCATATCGGATTTAGAGCGTCTTACATTTCAGAGACAAAGTTCCAAAGTTATCCGACATATTCTGACTCTTCCTTCATGGATGGAGACACGGAGGTATGGTTTGTCATATACAAGCTTTGGCTCTTATCAGATGAGCTCGATTTCACAGCAGTCTCACAATACTCTGTACCCGGACGGCCCGAGGCTTCATTAAGACTTACATGGACTTTGGACTAACCATGTTTGGGCTTAGAATCAACTTTTGGCTTGTTAGCGTTCAAAGTAGGACAGTGGAACACATGGATATTTACAGTGGGAAGACCGCCAATAAGAAGAGTCGGAACGTCTAGTCAGTGGGAGGTCTATACCAACACAGGTCGTTTGCGGTCGGAGAGAAACCTTCGATCTGACATGAAGGTATGGTCACATTTCTTTGTCGAGCGTATCTGAAACTCCATGCTACTCAGCTTTCGTGTTATCTGTCAGCGAGTTGTGCCATTGCGGACCCAGTGATCGGACCACTCGTGATGAAGTTGGTGCCGATAGGACGGTACTACACTTCGAATAAAAGGCGCTCGTAGTGAACATGGTGAGGGAGCGGGAGACTGTACGACTCTGCTCATGAGGCCCTCCAGCATTCTTTCGCCTTTTCTGTTTCTCCTGGCTTCAGGATCCCTCGGATTAGGTGCCATATACCAGGATGTAGACCAACTGTTATCAGCCCGGCAGAACAATACCGAGTTTGACTTTGTCGTCATTGGAGGTAAGCTTCACCCTCAACACGCGGGCCGAAATATCCTCACTTCTCTCGTTGACCGAATTGGTCGCTCAAGGCGGAGCCGCTGGGAACGTGCTTGTCAATCGTCTTACCGAGAACCCTAACTGGTCCGTCTTACTCTTGGAAGCGGGGGGATCCCCGGAGGGCCTGTTGAACTACACGATCCCATTCTTCACGATCTTCGTACGTCAGCGAAGCACCTTGGATTGGAACTATACCATACCTCCCCAAGATGGACTAAATGGAAGAAGCTTGTATTACCCGAGGGGGAGGGTCCTGGGAGGATGCACGTCAATGAGTGAGTTGACGCCAAGTAATGTCTGCGTTCTAGAGACCAAACCGTTTCCATAAAGATGGCATGGCTTACAGTCGTGGCTCTGCAAGCGACTGGGATAGATATGCCAGAGTGACGGGGGACCCTGGGTGGTCGTAAGTTGCTTTTCAAGGCACAGACCTTGGCGATGCTCGAAACCCTGACATAGATTCTCCTTCACGATCAGATGGAAAGCAATTCTTCCATACTTCCGCAAGGTCCGTCCGCCTCACTACTGGTTACGTAGCACTCAAACTCTCAGCCAGAACGAGCGGTGGCAACAGCCTACCGACGACCACAACCAAACTGGGCAGTGGAATCCTGGCGTTCACGGTTTCGGAGGTATCACCTCAGTCGGCCTGAACGGATTTTCGATTCCCGCTGTTGATACTCGGGTGCGGAAACTAACGCAAGAATTGCCCGACGAATTCCCATTCAATCTGGATTACAACTCTGGATTCCCGTTGGGTGTCGGTGAGATTGATCTGGTTTTGGGCGCATCAAACTATGTTGTTTGTTTATGATATTTATTGCATTCCTAGCTTGGTCCCAAGAGACTGTGAAACACGGAGTACGAAGTAGCTCCTTTACATCGTATTTGGGGCCAAAATTTCTTCGTCGGCCGAATCTTCATGTCTTGCTCAATGCACAGGCCACGAGGGTTTTGCCCATGACCGACACGCTTGACGGACCCACCCCGACATTCCGAGTAGTTGAATTTACACGAAACAGTAATGGTAAACATAAATTTGATGACTGGGTTACCTCGCTTCCGTTGTTGACTGACTCACTTGTTTGAACAGATGTGCGCCACAAAGTTTCAGCCACTCGAGAAATATTGATAGCGGGAGGATCTCTCGAAACCCCGAAACTGCTCCTGAACTCGGGCATCGGGGATTCAACATTCTTATCTGCTCTCGGAGTTACGCCTCGTATCCATCTTCCTGATGTAGGCAGGAACCTTTCCGTGCACATCGCTGTTAATCTCCCGTTTTTTGTCAATGAGACGTTCAAGGAGTCGACTTTTGACGATAACATTCGGGATCTGACACGGCGGGAAGAATTGATCCGTGAATGGCAGAAGACTGAGGGCGGTGGTCCGTTTGGTGTGGCGTATGTAAGTCACCTGGCTTATAGCCGATTACCTCCGGACGCTAGCATATTCGAGCTAGTGGAGGACCCCTCCTCTGGGCCACTCTCGCCTCACATAGGAACGACTACACAGGTACCGTACAGTGTCCAGACCCTGATTTTCCCGTCATGTCGTGGCTGATGTTATCATGTGTTCCTAGAACGGGAATCTTAGTCCCCCGCCCGAAGGATACTTTTTTTCTGCCCCAGCTACGCTTCTCACCCCCACTTCTAGTAAGTGTTTCCGTCTTCCGACTCTTACGCATCTCATCGGGATTGTTCGCTAGAGGGAGCGATCTCTATCAACACGACCGACCCCTTCACACAGCCCATCATCAACTTCGGATGTCTCACGACCCGTTTCGATGTCTTTGCTCTCCGAGAAGCAATCAAGTCCGTTTGGCGCTTCGTCTCCGCGTCGCCCTGGCACGGGTACGTCCTCCGCTCCGCGATAAGCATTTCACCTTCTAGTTCCGATGAGGAATTGGAGGCTTACGCCCGGGCGAACGCAGCGCCCAATGGACACATTGTGGGCACTGCGGGCATGTCGAGACGGGGTGCCGTGTACGGGGTTGTTGATCCCGATTTGAAAGTAAAGGGTGCGAAGGGGTTGAGGGTCATTGATGCGTCAGTTTTAGTAGGTGGCTCCCTCGCCTTTCGGACGGCCTCCGATCGAAATGTGTTGACTGGCTCTTATCCTCGTTTAGCCCTTTCTTCCTGCTGGGAACACGATGGCACCGGTGTATGCCGTGGCCGAGAGGGCGGCTGACTTGATCAAATTGGAGTGGGCAAGGCGAAGAACACGGAAAACCTCCGACGATGATTCGTGATTCGTGATACATGATACACGGGTGTTCTTGGGATACATTCAAGATGACAGCTTCAATCATTGAACACGTTGTTCTGTACAGTCAACTGATTCCTTCACTATTAGGCTACTTATACTTAGCTAAGACTTAACTTTGTAAGTCCTCGTGTTCCCACCATTTGTTCAAATAACAATCTGTCATATCACCATCGTAAACGGCAAGTAAATCCTGGGCTAAATTGAATGGACCATATTCACATTGGAACATTCACTTTCCCCAGGATTAGCCTTTTTGACTCCTCTCCCCTTTCTGCCTGAATTCTGATCATACTTGCAAAATGCGTAGGAAGTCAGCCACCAGACGAACCTCCGATGGCCGGATAAATTCGCACGCCACAGGCGCGTCATCTCGAGCGTTCTCTCACCCCTTATAGTCAGGTATATGCTTCGGGGGTTGTCCGAAGGTTGTAGAGGCTGGTGACGCAGGCTCGGAACCCTTCCACGAAGGTATCGTATAATAGGTTGGGGTGGTGGGAAGCTTTC